GCCTTAGAGGGCGGAGCTTACACGAAATAGAACAGCCTCTACCTCAAGAGGTAGAGGAGCCAAATGTCTGGCTCACTGCTGCCAACTAGTGGTCAGAGGCTGAACTACAACATAAAAATGAACGGCTGGCAGGAAAGTTGACATTTTAAACCTTAATAAAAAATCGATACAGGGCTTTAGAATATCGATACAGTATTGGGAAATGAAATATCGCAATATTTCAGTGTATCGATATTTTCTTACACACCTAACACGAAAATACCTTTTTATGTAATAGTGGAGGCTCTGCTGGGAGAGTTTTAATATCTTTAATAAATAAAATAAAATGCATGCACCAGTCTTAAAGATATAAAACAACTAAATACAAATAGCTCAAAATTATATTTTCAAACATTAAAAAGGTTTAGAGATTTCTTCTCTTTGTGGTAAAGTCACATTATTGACCTTATTTGTTAACAGCGGTTTTATCCAGAAAAACAAGCTGGACTGCCAAACCCTTTGAATACCTTTTCCACTGTTATTTTCTCTGCACTTTAAGTCGTTTTTTTCTCCCCCTATCAGTAAATATAGCTCAACTGGAACCACTCTTGAATTGTCTAAATGCCATAAAAAACCTGGTTGAAACTAAACTCCCTGACTCTAAATGAAAGAAAGTAAGACAGAAGTCATGTAACTGTTTTGACTTGTTTGGCTTCAGACATCTCTGCTGTCAGGAATCTGGGTGTTATTTTTCATGTTTTTAGATCAGGCAAAGCGATAAACATCACCACCTTGAAAGGTGACTCATGCTTTCATTACCTTTTGTTTGTAATGCTTTTGTGTTATGACTTGGATAAATCATCGGTGTCGCTTACAAATTGTCCTGAATGCAGCAGCTTGTCTTTTAACTGATGCTAAAAAACATGATCTCATAACATTGACTTCCTGTCCGATTATGAATTATTTTTAAGACTGTCCTGTTGACTTTTAATGTTTTTTAAAGGCTTGGCTCCATCACATTTATGTGATCTTATCATCTACACTCCAGTCAGAGCACTTTGGTCTATCAACCAGTCTCTTTGAAATCTCCCAAGAACCAAACTGAAGACAGAGGAAATTGAAAACAATTGAACTATATAGTTTTGGTCCATTGAGACTGTTGGGGTTTTTAAATCTTTGCTCAGGACCAAGATCTCTTTTCTGTAGCTTTTGATTCAAAGTTTGAGGTTCACTTAGAGCTGATGATGTTTGGTTGTATCGTGTTTCTGAACAGGTTAAATTTAGAGAAACGTGGTTTCAGTGAGCAGATTTTATTGCATGTGTCTAACAAGTTCAAGTTGGAAATCAAACAAAATGTTATGAGATGAAAAAAGTAACAGAGCAGTTGATCTGAAATCTACAGACAGGTGTTGCATTAACTGTATTCGTTCATTGCAGAACAAATTAAACTTTACTCGTTCACTTTATAAACAATTTTCTGTTTTGTCTCCGCAGACTGTTGCAATGCTGAAAAACATGCTGGAAAATAGTCCCCGAAATCTGTTCCATCAACCCTACAATGTAAGTGGACACACAGATACACAGTATACAAGGTCCAAAAAGTGTGGCGTACAAAACAAATGTGCTTTTATAATAAGTAAATATTCATTAAAATGTAAGCATTTACACATCAGTGTCAAAACTGAGCTAGATGAACAACACTACAACTGTTTTTTAAAAAAAGGAAAATAATTTAAGAGCTTAGTCAAAATGTGTTCACCCTTCTTACTAGTGTTGGACAGACCACCTAAACCAAGACCTCAGTGTATCGAGATAAGACCAAGARTTTTAGAGGCTGGACCACGTCCAGACAGAGTTTAAAAATGGAAACTAGTTTGCTAAATCATACAGGATACTAGTGTTGTAGTCAAGACCACCTAACCCAAGACAAGACCAAGACTTTTAGGGTTTGGACCAAGTCGAGAACAAGACCAAGGGAGGGCGATCACAGGCCTCATCTTTTTAAGTGGGAGAACTTGAACAATTGGTGCTGACTAAATACTTTTTCCCCACTTTAGCTAACTTAAAATGTAGAGCTAAAATTGACAAAATCTTTGTGTGAGGGCAGAGGAAAGAATTTTGCTACAGAGGCAGATTGTTGACGTTAGTGACGGTAAAAGTTTAAAGTTGTCCCCATTGTCTATGAAAGTAAGCACTGCTGAATGTACAAGTTGCTGTACGCTTTCTCCTGGTTGTTGTTTTACAATATTATTTATGAATAATGTAGCCAAACCTTTTACTTAAGATTTTGAAGACATCTTTTACCGCTCCCAGAGAACCACGGTTCACTTTCTGGGAGTGACTGCGTGTGAGTGATGGGGGTGCAGATGGGTGACAGCCGGTAACAAAAATACATTAATAGCAATAAGTCTGGTTTGGATTTGAATCAGTAGCTACATGTTAAATCCAATGAAAGCAAGAATGTTAACAACTTAATAGGACAATAATCTGGCTATTTAGTGATATTTCCACAGTTGTGGTCTTGACTGGTCCTGAAATAAAATTCCGAGTCCTCAATGTCCGAGACCGAGACAAGACCGAGTACAAAGGCTGTCGAGTCCGAGACAAAACCAAGAACATCAAAAAGTGGTCTTGAGACTGATTTTAAGACCAAGACCGGTTTCAAGTACTACAACACTACAGGATACTGTATGCAAGTACCAGTAGCTGATATTGACTAAATATTTTTGTGTGAAGGCCGGGTAAATAATTTTGGTCCAGAGGTAGATTGCTTTGCTAACACGTACACATAGCTTACCTTTCTACGGGCTTCCTTTCTAAGTGATGATATAAGTTTGACGTAGACCCCACCGTCTCTGAAAGCTGCAGAATTCACAAGTSGCTGTATGTTTCCTCCTGAATAATGTTTTACAAATATATTCTTTATGATTTATGTAGTCAAATATTATTGAAGATTTTACACACACATTCTCCAGCTCCCAGATAACCACTGCTCACTTTCTTGGAGTGCAGTGTGAGTGAAAAGAGGTGGGGATAGGTGACAATGGTAACAAAAATGCAGAATTGGATAGGAGTCATGCTTAGATTTGAATTGGTACATTTAACATCCAATGAAAGTAAAGATGTTAACAGAAATTGGACAAAATTCAGACAGTTCAGTGATATTTTCAGAGCTGTGGTCTTAAATGGTCTTGAAATGCAATCCCAATTCCTCATTGTCTGAGATGGAGGCAAGACCCAAGTACAAATGTGGTCAAGTCTGAGACTAGACAGACTATTAAAGTGGTCTTGAGACTGGTCTCAAGTACAACACTGCTTTTTATTAAAAAAAAGAAACATAACAGGTATAAATGTTCTTCAGATACTGATAATCAGAAAAAGTGATAATCAATGTAAGAGCTTTTATTAAAGCAGATGTTTTGTGGCTTTTAGAAAAACAATAATAAATGAAAAATTGAAATGTGGTACTCATAGTGTCTGTGCAGAAAAGTAAAAATCATTAAATTAGTTGTTGATAATATGAAGAGGAAATAGCATGAAAAGACATAAAAAGTCTGCCAATCAGAAAAAAAAAACAAATATTTTTAAAAGTTTTAAATATTACAAGAAAATCTGAAGAAGTTGCGTCTTGCATGACACAAAGCTGAAAAAGTTTTTTTTAGACCTAAGGCAGTTCAGTGTTAAAACCTGTTTTTTAAAGTGGAAGTCACTGTTTAAGCTTAAATACATCAAATTCTTATTGTTATTAAACTCATATCTTCAGAAAACAAAACATAATCTTAAATCATTCAGAAAAACCAAAGTTTCTCTGGATTCTTTGAGATGAGCAGCTGATCAGAAGATGAAAGAAGAGAGAAAGATGTACTTTAATCCAGGGTATAGGACTGTGGAATGGTCTGGAGGATGATCTTAAAAATACTAGATCTATGTATATATTTAAGAGACGGATAAAACAAGTTTTCTGAAGGAATATGGAAAAGTAAAATGTGAAGCTATATGAATTGTTGTTTGAGTTTGTTTTTATTTTTATTGTTTTGTAAATTGTTTTCTTTGAATATATTCTGGCGATCAAAGGGGCAGACATAAGACTTCTTCTTCTGCTACCTTTCATTTTATTT